CTCTCTCTCTCTCTCTCTCTCTCTCTCTCTCTCTCTCTCTCTCTCTCTCTCTCTCTCTCTCTCTCTCTCTCTAGCTCTATATCTATTGTATGTTCTTATACGTTGCAGGAAGCAAGATATACACTACTTGTTTGCTTACAATTGTTCAGTTGTGAATAGTCTTTTATGATTATTTTTTATTTATTTTTCTGTAACTAATTCCATGAATGGTGCGTGTTCTATGTATTTATATTAAGCAAGTCTTTTTTTCTTGTCTGATTCAATTTAATTTAGTTCTATTATACAAAGGAAATGTTTATATAGAACTTAGGCTCTAAACAATCAAATTAGAACCTTCCTCAAAATTTCCACTAGAAGAGCTTGTTTTGATGCCCAAATATCATTAAATTGGTCATCTCCATATCAAGATGCATGGACATAAGAAAAAAATGGATTTCAAGTTTTATAAATTGTACATCTTGTAACACATTTTTGGATCGTCAATTTTAAATATTTTCAGTTTTCATAGATCTGCTCGATCTACACTATTTTTGAAGCTTTAAATTTTACAACTAAAGATGAAAATATGATGTAAGGCTATCGCAAAACTTTCCAGTATTAAAACCATATTTCTCGATACTAGTATCCTATTTAAAGGTGGGCTCTAATTTGGTCGTTTAGAGCCTCAGCTCTATACAAACCGCACCCATTATATAATCCTATTTCATTTTATTTAGTTTTTGTGTATTGGATCGCTTACAAAGTCGCAAATTTACATACACAATCTGTTTTTTATCTCAAGTGCGATAATATTTTGCACAGGTTCAGTTTATAGTCAAATATGTTTTATTTATATGTGCGTTCATTAGGCTATTGGTGTGTTAATGAATTTCAAAAGATTGCTATTTTATTGATTCTACTTGCTTCTCCAGAATGAGGATGGAACGAAGGAGGAATATCGGGTTTGGAACCCTTTTCGTTCAAAACTTGCTGCGGCTGTTCTCAGTGGTGTCGACAATATCTGGATCGTAAGTTTTGTTGTTTGTCATTTGCATTAAATTCTTTTCCCCCCGTTTTAGTGCTCAATGATGATAAGTGAGTTGTCGATATAGAAGTTTTGAACACTCCAATCCACCCATATGTATATGTATGAACTTTTTGCTTTTTGACAAAAGACAACGACCTTAGAAACCGATGCTTCCTTTTGTGTTGAAGGCTCCAGGGTCCCGTGTACTTTATCTTGGTGCTGCTTCAGGAACTACTGTATCTCATGTGTCCGACATAGTTGGACCTGTAAGTTTGGTGTTTCAATTGTTTGCTTCTGTATTGGTGGAATGGATTTTGTAAAGGCATGTATATTTATTTACTTCTAGAACTGGTCACTATTATTGTGTGATTTAGTTGGATCTTGAGATATCTGATACTAGTATTTCTTCTGAAATTTTAATGGATAGACGGGCATGGTGTATGCTGTTGAGTTTTCTCCAAGAAGTGGTAGGGACTTGCTCAACATGGCAAAGAAGCGTCCCAATGTTATACCAATCATTGAAGATGCCAGACATCCATGGAAATATAGGATGCTAGTTGGCATGGTGGATGTTATATTTTCTGATGTAGCCCAACCGGATCAAGTAAGTTTTTTCTTTGCTGTTTTGACATAGCCAAAATTCTTGAAGGGCTACCTCAAATATATATAATATATCATATCATTTATCAATGATGCGATCATATGCTTGTGTATATTTCCATGTGCAAATTAGTGATAAAATAATTCAATGCACAAAGCACATATTTTTAATCTCTTTATCAATGATAGGGTTGTTTGCTTGTGTATATGTCCATGTGCAAATTAGTGAGAAAATAATCTGATGCGCAAACACTTTCTTGAACACACAATGACACATACTTGTGAATGTATGTGTCTGAATGCACATGAACGTATGTGCTATTTTATTGTCTACATGTTATCTAGGCTTTAATTTTTGTGTCGATTTCTCGAACACACATTCACACGTACTTGTGAATGTATTTGTCTGAATTTGCATGAACGTGTATGTGTTATTATATGGTCTATGTGCATATCTAGGCTTTAATTTTTGTTTTCAACGAGTATTTATGTGTCTGTTTGAACGTGTAACTTTGTTTGTCTGTTTATTTTACTGCTTAAATATCATCTAGTGATTATTCATTTAGTCATTCTATATGTCTTTGTTGATGTTCATCCAATTACTCTTTGAGCACTGTATGTACTTAACTAAAATAATTTCTGACAAAAATCTAGATCCCAAATGCAAATATGATACACTTCTATGGCAGACCCTTTTTCTTTTTTTTGTTTGTTGTGTGTGTGTGCGTGTGTGTGTGTGCGCATGTGTGTGTGTGCGCGTGTGCGTCTCTCTGTCTCTCTGTCTCTCTCTCTCTCTTTCTCTGTTTGTCTGTCTCTGTGTGTGTAGCTGTTGCTGTATCTCAGTGGCTGTCTTAGTGGCCATATTGCATCCTCTTGCATTTGAAATTTCAGGACATTTGAAATTTCAACATTCGAGGAAGTCAGTTCTTTTGCGATTTGATGGCTAGATACACAATTCTAAGTGTTGCAAATCATTTTGATAGGTGTTTTCCCCCCCTACAAATTAATCACATGGAACTTGCAATTGGTGGCCATTAAGGTCTACCATTTTGTATCCTTTATTTGATTGGATGGATTTTAACAGTGTTTTTATTCGCATCATTATGGTTGCATGGCAAAAAAATTTTAGTAATTGATTATTTATTTTTATTTGCTTTATTTTCCTTTTTACTTTTATGTTCTTTGGGACATGTAAAACATTTCATGATATACAATATTGGGCTGTTCTCTTATTTATTTATTTATTTTTTATATAACAAGTATTGATAAGATTTCAAGCACATGATGAAATACTCGGATTCCCCTTCAGGACAGCATGGATGATGTTAATTCGAGTTTCTGATGCAACTTTTCTGTACATGTAATATTCAAATTCTGTCATTGTTTTAAGTAGATAATATCTGTAGGGGAAATGGTTTAAATTCTAAAATTGCATACCCCAACCATTGTCCAACACTTCATAAATATAATATTTGGCTGTTGTCTTTTTTCTTTTTTTAATTAATATTTTAACGTGTCTGCATCAAATCTAAGCACATGAAGAAACTCGGATTCCCCTTCAGGACAACCTGGATGATGTTAATTCGAGTTTCTGATGCAGCTTTGCTGTACATGTAACATTCACATCTAGTCATTGTTCTAAGTAGATAATATTTATAGGGGAAATGGTTTTAAGTTCTAAAATTGCTTACCCCAACCATTGTCCAACACTTCATAATATGTAATATTTGGCAATTGTCTTTTTTATTTTTAATTAATATGTTAGCGAGCTTGCATCAAATCTAAGCACATGATGAAATACTCGGATTCCCCTTCAGGACAGCCTGGATGATGTTAATTCGAGTTTCTGATGCATTTTTGTTTGGACGTTAACTATTAGTAGTCGTCTAGCAATTTTTTGAGACCATTAGTAGTTTTCGAAAGAGAGACTGATAGTTGAGTCACGGTGGTGCTACCACCTTGACCTCAACCCAGTTCCTGTTCTGATACAAATTTTATGCACATGTAATTTTTAATTCCAATCATTGTCAATGGAGACGAAAAGTTATTATGAAAAAACTTTCAAGTAATAGCATTGCTCACAACAGTTAACATATTAAAAAAAATTTATAGCATTGCTGTCCCCAACACCTCTCTTATGATGAGGAGAGTTGGCTTTGCACCTTAAGGAGCTCTGAGGAGGTCCTTGTTTTCCTCAATCCCAAGAGGAATAGTGTGGCTTTAAGTTGCATAAGGTGCATCTCTTTGTAGAAGCCAAGGTATATGAGGGCATGTTTCCTGATTAAGGCTTATTGCTTTGTGTGAGAAATGTGTTTCTATTTTATTTGAAAATCTTGTCTTTGATTTGTGTTCTGCTTTTTTTATATTTATTTGTTGAATAATTCCATTCATTCATCAAAGGGAATGAGTCTGCTACCTATTGGAAAAAGGGAAAAGGAGAGACTGATTTATACATGAAGTTGTACTTGGGAGCACTAACTTTGAGCTACTAGATACATAGGTTCTCTGTTTGACCTGATGCATTTGTTTGTGTGTCTATGTGTTCGTGTGAGGAACTGATGAGGAGCTAGGATCTGTTTTGACAGATTTTCTGTGTTGGTGTCAGTTTGAGTGTTTATGTGTATTTGCGTTTGTGTAGTTTTTATTTTTTGGGTGGGTGGGTGGGTGGGTGGGTTGGGGGGGAGGGGGAGGGGGTGGGATTTTGTTTGAATGCTGTATACTTCCGTTTATCATGTCTCATTGTATACGATTGGCATTTCTTGTTTTATTGCTTATCAACACTTTTGGGGATCTGTTACTACGGTTTGTGTCTTTCTGCAGGCTCGCATTATAGGTTTGAACGCTTCTTTCTTTCTAAAGAGTGGTGGCCATTTTGTGATATCAATAAAGGTATGTTGTCAATGTCCTTTTATCGGCTTTCTCCATAACCCCATTTTTCCCACATGCACATTATATGTCATGCCCATGTATTTGTGTTGTTTGTTGGTTTACATGTGTGAATGCCTAGTCCATTTGTATTATTAGCATACCAAAAGAGAGAAATTGAAAATAATGTAATGAGTGTGTGTAGCATGCTCCAGCCGGAGCATTCTTTATTTGAAAGTTTGGGATCTATCTATCACTAGATGATTGTTTACAATTTTTTGGATTTTGGTTCTTGAACATCTACGTCTTTCCCTCCAAAAATTGAAAGATTCCTGTGCTATCTTGTGATGTTTTTAGTTACATAAAGAGTGCAAGTTAATTTATTTATTTATTTTTCCTTTTGAGGTTGGTCATTGGGTTCTAGATATTACGTCCCCAATATTTGGGATCTAAAAAATATTCCGAGGATGAATATTGTCTGAGGGAGTTCATGGACATTACACTCCCACGGAAGTATAAAAACTTTGGGTATAACAATATCCTAAGATACAAAGAATTTGTTCCTTCTGGTATTTTTCCCCCTCCCTGAAGAACCCCTCTCTCTCTCTCTCTCTCTCTCGCACACACACACACACACATCCTTTTTTAATCAATAAGTACTAAACCTGAGAGTTTGAAGAACCCCTCTTGCCTCTTTCCATTAACTGGATATCTCAGGCAAAAAGTACTTCAACTGAGAGTTTGACATCCTAATAACTATTATAAAGGGACTGTTGTCACATTCTCACATTTACAAATCTGACTTCAATACTGAACTCAAACTAATCAACAACCCTTCTGTATCAAACAATAAACTACTATGTGAGCTATCTTCCAATAAAATCCTCTTCAAAACAATCAAATTCAAACCAACTTCCCCTCAACCAAATGAAATGGCACAGTGCTCCTATTCAGTCATGGCCTCTTCTGTCATCCTCCAATGGTTTGGTGTTTGAGGAAGCATATAACGACCCATACAAACCATTTTTCATAGGGATTATCAATGCCCCACTAGTGGTAACTGGTTATTCATAGTGGTCATAAAAGAATGTCATATCTCAATTCTATGTACCACTATCTTCCTGTCACTATTGGACCCATTGATTCGATGGTGATGACCCCAAGGACAATATTGTTAACACTATCATATGTGGATCATCCTATTCCTTCACAGTTATTTATTTTTTTCTTATTTTGCTTATTCTATTTGTCATTGGTTTTTCCTTTCATATTTCCTATTCCTTTTTGCAGGCGAACTGCATAGACTCTACAGTCCCTGCTGAGGCTGTTTTTGCATCAGAAGTCAAGACCTTGCAAAGTCAAGAGTTTAAGCCTGCTGAGCAAGTGACTCTCGAGCCGTTTGAGAGAGACCACGCATGTGTTGTTGGAGGATACCGAATGCCCAAGAAGCAGAAAGCTGGAGCCTAACATGTCAAATGGTACTATTGTGAAGTTTCCAAGAGGCAACTTTATTTGCTCCTCCGCAGGTTTTATTAGATGAGATTCTTGTTATCCATGCATCAATTTGGTTTTTGTCAATTGGTGCCATTTTGTTTACGAATGGGGTTTTCCTCTGGCTGGTATAAAGTTAATTTGTATTTTTATCATTAGGAATGAACAATTTTTCCTTGCAGGCTTTTGTTCCTAGCAACAATTCTTCTACTTAATTCTTCTACTTCATGAGCAGTTGAAGATTGAATCTTCCAATTACATTTTTTTACCATAATTTCTCTTAGTGTACTCTCTGTTTTTTTATCATAATTTCTCTTAAGTTTACTCTCTGTTTTAACTAGTGTTTTAAAACCTGGATTATCCCAGTGGATCAACACTCCACTGGACTGATCCAGTTCATCCATCGAGAATATGTTTTTTAATGATTTAAGTTTAGGATTTGGATTAAGAGATTAGTGCCGATTCTTGAGTCGGAGGGAATTGGCTGATCACCCTCTATCCCCAATCGAGATCGGCTATTCCGAATCTTGAACGGTGATTTTTAAAGCATTGGTTCGTTATAAAGTTTGCAAAATTCAACTAACAGACATTTTCAAAAATCAAGCTTCACAAATTGTATGCCTCCCTAATACTAAAATATTTATGGGAGACCCTGAGATGAGGAATCTAGATAATGATTGGGTTTAACATCAGGTTTAAACTATGAATTCATGGGATACATGAGTTTTTTGAATACAAAGTAGTTTATTACTTTCCTGGATGGTTGAATCAAGAAAATATCTCATGATCCTTTTTCCTTGTCCTCCCAGTCCTTCCCAAAGAATCCTAGCTGCATTTTGTTTATTAGAATGAACCATTTATAACGAAATCAATCCAATTTATTTTTGGTAAAAGGTGTACTTTTCTTCTCCATTAGATGTGAAATTTAACATTTTAAAGGTGTTCAACTTTTTTTTAGCTATTAGATGTGAAATTTACCGTGCTAAAGTATCACAACTTCCGAGAAAATTTAAGACATTATGCTCTAGTGTCACATCATCACCCATCCCATTTTACATCCATCTGGTGACAATGTTTGTGATCACTTTGTATCTGGTCTCGTCATAAACTTTTCCTTAATCAACCTAGTTATGTTTTAGATGGGCTTCTATGAGTCGGCCGACTCATATGTATACGCCCCAACTAAAATTCATTTTAGATTTTTTTTTTTAGATTCATCTTCTAGGTCAAGATGATCTAATTATGAAAAGAAAAATAAATTTTTAATACTAAAAATATAATTTTTTAATTTTTTTTATACACCGTCCATATCATATTTATGGACAATGCAAACAATTTTTCTTATGTTTAATTTTCTAAACGACTGCACGAAAATGCTAACCATCATCTCTCTTAAGTTCTTAACCATTGTACGCTATCGTTCCCGGCACTGATAATGTGACGTGATGTGAATGCTAAACTTTTTGTAAACCCTTTTCCGTCTTGTAATGAACAATTTAGGATTTTTTTTTTCTCATCTGAAATTTTAGGATCCATTTAAGAACTAGATTATTATTTTCAATTAAAAACTGTATTTAGAGTTTTTTAATACTTAGATTAGATCGTCCTTTGGATGATCTCTGTTCAATCCTAGTAAATTATTTTTCAGATTAAGACAATGTATTTGGTTCTTTCTCTTCTTCTTATTCTTTTGACTTTGGTTGCTAGGTCAAAGAAGTTACATCCGCAAAAGTTGGGGTTTTTCTACTTCTTATTCTTTAGTTTGGTTGCTAGGTTGAAGAAGTTAAAGGTCTATGTGGATAATTATGAGGATACGTTCCGTATTAGGGTGCTTACAATAAGGTCTCTATCCTTAATTGTAAGGATCAATTCGAATATGTCGAGTCATATATATATATAAGGGTAAAATATGCCCATAAACTAAAAAAAAAAAAAGTTAAAAAAATTTAAAAGAATTACAAATTGGCAATAGAAATCATTAAAGTTTATAAAATATGAAAAAATATGTAAAAGACGAATTATTAAAATTTTTTATTTGTGCTTAGAAAAATTGTACAAAAATAAGAAAAGCAAAAAATAACAAAATTAGAGCATGTAATAAGAAAGATCCCCAAATCATCATAAACCACAATGTACTTTTAGATCATATTATTGTAGCTTTTAATAAAAAATGTTCTTTTTTAAAAAGCATTTAAAATGACATGTTGCTCACAGGAACTTCACTCGGTCGAGTCTAAGTCAAACTCAGCCGAGTTCGCGAACATTGATAGATACATTCCTACTCAGGATAATAATATGCTCCTATTTAGGATACTTATAAACAGTCTTTATAGACTATGGTTAATTATTTTACTATTCAAAAAAATAATTACTTCATCTAGGAGCAAATAGGGACCGTCAAATTTTCTATGGTTAACTACATAGTAGTTACCGCGCACATCCTTCCAAAATTAAATTTCCCCTTTCTCAAGTGTTACATCCATACACAATTTGTGCAGTTTTTTTTTTTTTTTTTTTTGTGAAAATTACAAAGATGTGATTCGGATTTCTAAGATTTGAAGTTTATCAAAGTCCCTTAGATGCATTTGACAGATCGCATTTGATGAGAGAAAAATATTTCAGATATTTCTGTGCATTTTAGTAATAACGGTATTCCCGTAATTTTCTCTCAATTATAGGAATATATTCCTATTAGGAAACACTCTCCAGTACATTTAAATTAGGGTTCAAAACCTAAATTTATCTCAATTATAAGGATATATTTCTATTAAGAAACAATTCAAATTATATTTAAATTAGGACTAAAAACCCAATACGAAATTTAGGACTAAAAACCCAATACGAAATTTAGGTTGACGTATAAAAAATGTGGAAAACTACTAATTATATGTTACATCAGCTAAGAATCACTTTCTTAAAATTTTGGATATTTTTTTAATTACTTAATCTCCTAATTTAAAATGTAGGGCGTTATTTTATTTTTAAGAAGGATTATTCTCTATTCTAAATCCTAATCCCACGAAAATTACGACCTTTCCAATAAGTCCCAATAAACAGTACTTTTCTCTCTACGTGCTTTTCAAATCCAAATTTAACTATGATCAATGTCCTGATAACCCTATCTCCAGACGCCGTCCTCTTTCCCTCTACGTGCTTTTTAAATCCTAATTTAACTATGATCAGGCCCTGATAACCCTCTCTCTAAACGCTTCTTGGGTTAGGAATTAAGATCACTATTAATTCCTCTATCTAGACGCTTCTTGGTTTGGGAGTTAGGATCACTATTAATTCTCTCTCTAAATCTTTTAGGGTAATTAATTATCTCTATGAGTTAATATACCTACTCTTTCTATTTCTAAGATTAAATAAGGATTCTCTCTCTAGCGGCCTGCCTCTCTTTCTTTTCCAAGTTTACGCCTCTGCTCTCTCTCTGAACTTTTCCTCACTCTCAACTTTTGATCCGTCTTTCTCTTTCTAATACTGAATCTCTCCCTCTTCCCTCGACTTTCTTCTCCCTCATCTCTTCTGCAATAAGTCTCTTGTCACCGTCCATCTTTTCCTTCTTCTCTCTCTTTCTTATTCGAACTCCCTCTCTCCTCACCATACAAGTTCTTGGAAATCTCCTAATGGGATCCAACAATCCATATTATAGAGTTTCATTCCGTGTGGATTCAGTTCCAAACCCTTTGAGACTCCATCAAAACTTGGAACTTAAATTTGTTATCCATGAGAGGACAACATTCAGGAGCGTGACAGAAACGGGGGACATTCGTTTAGCAGATTACATGGCGGTCTCTAGTACTGTTACTGCTGCCTCTTCGACTCGAGACCTGGGAACGATCAGAAGCGCGTACCTCTTTGTCTCGGACAAGTTGCAGCACGCACATATACCCTCGCACATCAAGCATAACGTATATTTGGATATCACCCGTCGTGTATGTGCCGAGGCACGCTGGTTTCACGAGTCCGATGTAAAGCTGCAGCTATACGTCGATGTGGATATTGAAGGAGAGGGAGAATTGATTGCAGCAGAAACTGAGAATGAGGGTTTACTTCGAGAGCTTGAGGCATCCGCACAAGAGGATCACCGCACTCCGAGATCGGTGGATATTGAAGGAGAGGGAGAATTGATTGTAGCAGAAACTGAGAATGAGGGTTTACTTCGAGTGCTTGAGGCCTCCAGACAAGAGGATCACCGCCCTCCGAGACCCGCATCTAGGGTAGCAGTAGAGTCCTTGGCGAGGGTGGATATTGGAGCGCAAGAAGAGGTTCTTTGCACTATTTGCATCGTTGAGATCAATGCTGATGCCAGGGCGCTCCCCTGCTCTCATAAGTACCATGAGAGTTGCATATTGAAGTGGCTCGAGCTGAGCAATTCATGTCCCATATGCAGGTACCAATTGCCTGAAGACTGATCCGCCAGCAGCTAGTGAAATCAGTTCTCGTCTACTGCTTCTTCTTTTTTTTTTCTTTTTTTTTTGTTCACTCCTAGATATGTAATTTTGTTCTTTTATTTAATTTTACAACATTGTGTTATGTTATAGTTATCAATTTGGTTATGTGTTTTTTATTTTTTTATTTTTTTTCTTGAACTTTAATTTTGTAACATTTCATATAATGTTCCATCCTGTAACATGTAAAACTAGCCTTCTAACTAGTTTTGTTAGAGATCTTTGTTCAAGGCTTCAACGATCTCTAACAAAATTAGTTGGTTATAGTTACAGGATGTAACATTATATAAAACACAACAAAATTAACATTTTTTATTAAAGAAAAGCATGTACCGTTATGAGATATTAAGATTTTTTTTAGAGCAATTTCTTTGCTTTTAATGCGTTATTTGGATAATATTACTCAAGATGACTGCTTCTTGTGCACTCACGTCCATTTCGTATGGAGAGAGATTTCGGTCAAAATTAGAGATAGAGAGAGAGAGATAATGCACGGATAGAGATTTTTTTGCCAAAAGTGTAGAGAGAGAATGCACGGAGAGAGATTTCTTGGCCAAAAGTGTAGAGAGAGAATGCACGGAGAGAGATTTCTTGGCCAAAAGTGTAGAGAGAGAATGCACGGAGAGAGATTTCTTGGCCAAAAGTGTAGATAGAGAGAATGCACATAGAGAAATATTTCTTGGCCAAAAGAAAAGAGAGAGAGAGAAAGAGATTGCCCAAACGTAGATAATTTGTGTAAGAGAAGGATTTCCTTTGGTCTTCTTCTATAAAAAAACGGTGCATGGAGAGCATGCTTAGACTCTTGGGTGATACTTAAGATTTTTTTTTTTTTAATCTAAAATTTTGGGATTTGTTTAACAACAAGTTGAATATTTTAAATAAAAACAGGATTTTGTGTTTTTAAACCGTTAGATTAGTTTGTCTGAAAATTGGACGGTCTGATTTTTTTTTCCCTTTGGAAGTTGGTCCTAGGGTGAAGAATGTACATTTAGTCCCACAAGCAAAAGAGGTATGTCAAAGTTGTTTTATATTTGAAATTATGCAATCTACTGTGGTTTCATTGGATGCGTATTTCCATAAAATATTTGAATTTTGGGGTTTCGAAAAATTTAGATTTGATAATATGAAAATTTAACGGCCACTATTCAATCGTAGAATTCTATTGATACCAATCCTATAAGAAAGTGTATATGATTTTTATTTTTATTTTTAATATTCTTGTCTAATAGCTTTTAGGTGGTTCTCATAAATTTTAGAATAAAAAAATCAACCCAATTATCTCTTTTTGAGTGAGGGAGTAAATACACAACTCCCTTGGAAGTTTAGCATAGCCCCTCTTTTTTTTTTTTTCCTCCACTAAAAAAATAAATGTGTAATTATGGTTCTTATAAGGATTCATACTTTTTTAATTACATTTAAATTATGATGAATATAATATATATAATTTCTCATATGCCTTTTTTTTTTTTTCCTTTTTTTTTAATCTATGAGGATATGGGACAAATTATGTTTAATACAAATACATAATTATATTTCTCAATTTTATCCATATATGGAGTTTTATCCTATCTTAAAATCACACACATAGTTCCCATTTTTTAGGATTTTTTAGATATTCTTATTTCTTTTGTAACTTGAGATACTATCCATTTTGCAAGGAACTTAAATTAGGTGTATATTATTTAATTCTTAAAAAAACTAAGTTAGATGCAACACGTAAGTCGTTTCCTAATCTTATTGTGAAAGAAAAAAAATAAGAATACCTTTCCATAATTTAATCAAAATTAATAAGGATAAAAAATAAGTTTTTTGAAGATAACGGTGTAAATTATTGGTAAGGTGATCCTAATAGAATCACTATTACCGGACATTTTAATTAAATTTTGAGATAAGAGATGTTTTTTTTTTTTGAACAAAAAGTCTTGTTTTTTTTTTAAAAAAAAAGATTCATGTGGATATGCGAGTAATTTTGTTTACTTAGGATACGTAATTATATTTAAATTAAGCTAAGAACCCAAATTAAAATTCATGCTGGAATACAAAAATTATGGTTAATTCTAAGGATTCATTCCTAATTTAGAAATTTTCTCAATTACATTTAAATCAATTTTCTTATGCTTTCTTTTTTTTGCAAAAAAAATAATCTATGTGGATATGTGACATACAAACTGCGGTTAATTATAAAAATACTTTTCTAATTGCATTTAAATTAAGGCTAAGAGCCTAATATGAAATTTGTTTTTGGCTTTAAAAATTAGGGTTAATTGTTATGACACATCCCTAATTTGGATACTTTCCTAATTACATTTAAATTAGGGCTAAGAAACTAATATGAGATTTATGTTGGTTATAATAATTTGTGGAATTATGATAATTATATTTAAATTTTATAGATTTAGTTTTCTTAAAATCTTTTTGGATATGTTTTTTATCCGGGAAAGGTTTCTTTGCTTCTTCTACAACATAGAAGTTCTATCCTCCCCCTACCATCCAGCCGTCCAATTTTGATCAAGAGAGCCACTTACCTTTTGATCTTAGATTCGACGTCTCAAAGTATTTTATTTTTAATTTTTTTATACAAATTGTATGAATATGAAATTTGGTACGTACCATCTTCTCATTGGAACACACCTGTAAAAAATATTAAAAATAATTTTTCAATAACATATAATGACAAAATACCCTTTGAATCTTTCAAAGGTAGTTTGGTCATTTTATTTTATTGAAAATATTTTTTTTATATTTTTCGCTAGTGCGAGTTTAATAGAGGAATGGACATCCAAAATTTGATGTCAAAATAATTTATAAAAAAAATTAAAAATAAAATAGTGTAGAGATGTGACATTGTCATTGGGGAAATCTTAGCCCTCCAATCAGAATTGACGGTTGGATAAAGGGGAAGATAGAACTTCTATCCTATAGGGGAAGCATAGAAAGCTTCCCCCTTTTTATCCACCTCTATCTCCTAATTTACATTGGAGGCCCTTATTTCTAATTTAATAGTTATTTCTACCTGCTTATTCTCTTTCTCAGTCATATAAATATGGTGCCACTGTTGGTCTCTTCTCCCTCTCTCGCTATTCTTCAATCTCTCTCTTACTCTCTCTAAGTGCCGTCTTTTTTATGGAAAAAGTTTATATGAGAATGCAATCTTATAATGTAGAACTACGAATGCACCTCAAAAATCCATACAAAAAAGTAGTTTTAATGT